CTGAGGCTTAAGCTGCAGCTAGGCTGAGGCGTAGGCTAGGCGGTGGAGTGGTTTAGGCTGAGGCGTCCGCCGAAGCCCAGGCTGAGGTTTGGACGAGGCTCAGGCTAGGTTTAGGCTGAGGTGCAGGCTGGGCGGAGGCTTAGGTTTAGGCTGAGGTTTGGGTCAGGCTTAGGCTATGCTTAGGCTAGACTGAAGCTTAGGCTTGCCTGGCTTAGGCTGAGGCGTAGGCCAGGCGGGGGCTGAAGTTTAGGCGTAGGCTTGGGTTTGGGTCAGGCTTAGGCAACGCTTAGGCTAAAGCTTGGGCTAGGCCGAGGCTGAAGCTTAGGCTCAGGCCAGGCTGAAGAAGCAGAGCATGTTCTAGACAGAGGCTGCATCTGAGGCTTAGGCTAGACTTCGGCTAAACTTCGGCTGGAGCTTAAGCTGGGCTAGGCTGAGGCGTAGGCTCTGCTTAGGCTGAAGTTTAGGCGGACGGCGGCAGAAAGAGAGAGAGAGAGAGAGAAAGGAGTGGGAGGCAGCGCCGAAGAAAAGCATAGCGGGTATACCACGCCGATACCAACAGCAAGCAAACGATGCGCTCCGCCTCCCACAAAACAAAATCCTTCAAAACGCAGGGGGGCGATTCGACCCCTGAACCGCGTCTTACAGGGTCTCTGCAAGGCGTCTTACAGGCGTCGCACAGGCGCTTCTACGAGGCGTCTTACAGGCGTCTCACAGGACTCTGCGAGGCGCCTTACAGGCGTCTTGCAGGCACCTCTGCGAGGAATCCGCGATGCGTCTTACAGGCGCCTCTGCGAATCGGGGTGCGCATCCAGACCACGTGAATTCAGTCGTTGCGGGCGCTCATGGGAGCCTCTTGGGGCCTCTCAAAGCCTCCTGGGGCCTCTTGGGGGCTTCTTGGAGGCGTGTTTCATGGGCTTACGCCGCACTGCCGAAGCGAGGGCTTGTCGGACCGTGTTTCCTGCGCGGACTCCACAGCCTCCTCCTCCTCCTTCCTCCTCCTCCTCCTCTCCTCCTCCTCACTCCTCAGCCCCATCCTAATTCCTGAGTTTCTTTTCTCAGCTTCCTCCTCCTCCTCCTCCTCCTCCTCCTCCTCCTCATTTCTCAGCTTTCTCCTCGTTCCTCAGCCGTGCCCCCCGATTCCTCAGGCTCCTCCGCATTCCAAAGCTTCCTCATTCCTCTCCTTCATTCCTAAGCCTCTTCATTCCACAGATTCCTCCTCGTTCCTCGGCCTCCGAATGCCCTGACCGAAGGATGAGCTAGCAGAGGATTTGGAGGGAGTGGGGGGGGGGGGGAGAAGGTTTCGAAAGGTGCTGACGCCTGGCCGTTGGCCACATCCTGGGTCGGGAACTGTGCAGTCGTCCGAGCGCTGGCCACATCCGTGACTGCGAACGGCGCCCTAAGTGTGACTCGAGCGTTGGCCACATCCTTACCAGCCTCGAACTTATCCCGATCCCTAGATTGACACGCCAAAAGGCGATGGCAATCTTAGGGATGCGCCCTAAAAAAAAAGGAATCCCAAAGATTGGCACCGTGATGAGGAGATGCCCAGCACAGGGATAGGGATATGTTCCAGGCTGGTAACATCCGTGACTCGAGCGTTGGCCACAAACACATGGTAAGACACGTATTGTTTCTATCATTGAGAGTTGTGCGGGATGTCCAGAATGTAGTATGTGCGCTATGAAGCCAATTCATCAACTCCGCCATCCGAGCCCACATCTTGAGTTCAACATCGTCGCAAGCCGTTTTGGTACCAATTCCAACCTGCGCAGTCATGGTAGCTTCTGGAACTAATGTGCACACATAGGCCGACTCGTCTGTTTGGGGATACACAGAAATCGCCTTGCCCTTGAAGTCCTATGGTGAGGGCACTTGGCCGGTTGGAATTAATGACAGTTTGTTTTTTCATGCTGGTTGGAGAAAGCACAAATTGGTTAGGATTGGTCCCAATTGGTTGGTATTAGCCCGAGATTTGGTGGGGGAGGGTGTCCCGGGTCAAAATACCGCCCCCCCCCCCAGAGGTCCCAGCGGATCCCGGGGGGGGGTCGGCGGCGCTGGCCGTATGTCCTTCGCAGTAACTCCTCCCAGTCGCACCCCCAGACGTGTCGGTGGGGCGGGTCGGGCGGGTCGCCTGAACTTCATCACATCTCATGATCCCGAGAGTTGAAATCTGCAACAACTTAAATGACGGAGTGCGAATCCTTTTCAGAATATGAGTCTCGCCTCAGCCCCGCGCGCAGTCGTCTTAAGTTTGCAACAGTTTCAAGGATGATAGAGTGCGGGTCTTTTTCAACATGTGCTTCTCGCCTTAGCGCCGTGCAGTCTTCTTAAAAGCTTGAGACAGCTTCAATGAAGGAGGACAGGTGGTTTTCAAAATGTGACTCTCGCCTTGGCGCCGCGCACATCCATCTGAAAAGTTTGCAGCACTTTCAAGGCTGAAGGGCGGCTCCTTTTCAAAGTATGACTCTCGCCTCGGTGCCGCGCACATTCGTCTTATAGGTTTGCGACAGTTTCGCGGATTTTTCGTATGGTATGGTTGGAGTCCCAGCAATGGTTTCTAGCACATTGTACGATTATCGGGACACAAAGTCACGTTGATTCGCGGTGTGAAGTCCCAGGAACGGCGTTCTGGCAGGATTCAAGATTGTCGGGATGCAACAGTCACGTCGATCAGCGGCGTTGAAATCCCTGGACTCGTGTTTTGGTATGATTGGGGACTCCCAGGCGTGTGCCTTCTAATGGGCCACTCCTCGCAATGAAAAGAAAATATTGTAGGGACCTGTGAAGAGGGAACTTGGAGGCAGGGTTTGTTGCAATCGATTATGCGTCTTGGGTTTACACCTGTTCTCCTCCTCCTCATCCTCATCAGCATCATCCTCCTCCTCATCCTCATCCTCATCATTACCCTCCTGCCGGTATGTTGCACTGCTCTAATTCGATTATTCGTGCTACGATGTCCCTGCGTGGTTTCGGGCCTCGTGTCTTCTTCGGTCGGACTCTGCGCTCGTGGTCCTTCCCTGACCCTCGCTTCGCTTCGACTTTCGAGCCCTTCGTCGGTCCCCTTCCGTTGTTTCTTGCGGCCATAATTGTCTGGGAGGCAGCGCTTGACTCTAGCCCACGTCCGGACAGTAAAGCATCCTTATCCTCATCATCATCGTCACCACCACCATCGCCATCATCATCACCATCATCAAAACAATCATCATCCCCATCACCAGAACCATCATCATCATCATCATCCTGATCATTGCCATCGTCATTATCATCATCAGCATCATCATCACAATCATCATCATCATCATCATCATCATCATCATCATCATCATCATCATCATCATCATCATCATCATCACCATCACCATCCCCAACGGTATCATCATCATCATCATCATCATCATCATCATCATCATCATCATCATCATCATCATCATCATCATCATCATCATCATCATCATCATCATCATAATCATCAGTATCATTATCATTATCATCATCACCATCATCATCATCATCATCATCATCATCATGATCATCATCATCATCATCATCATAAGCAGCAGCATCCTCCTCCTCATCATCACCACCAACACCACCACCATCATTCATCATCAGCAGCATCAGCTCAGCATCATCATCATCATCATCATCATCATCATCATCATCATCATCATCATCATCATCATCATCATCGGCAGCATCATCAGCAGCAGCATCACCATCACCACCACCACCACCACCATCATCATCATCATCATAATCATCATCAGCATCATCATCATCATCATAATCATCATCATCATCATCATCATCATCAGCATTATCATCATAATCATCATCGTCATAAGCATCATCATCATCGTCGTCGTCATCATCATCAGCATCATCATCATCGTCGTCGATGTCATCATCATCATCATCATCATCATCATCATCATCCTCATCACCACCATCATCATCATCATCGTCGTCGTCCAGCATCATCGTCATCATCATCATCAGCAGCATCATCATCATCATCATCATCGTCGTCGTCGTCGTCACCATCATCATCATCACTGCCATCAGCATCAGCATCATAATCATCCTTCTCCACCTCATGCTCATGCTCATCCTCATCCGCAGCCTCATCCTCCTCCTCATCATCATCGTCATCATCACGGCTCTCCCAGGCTTCGGGGCACGATGTATCACACTTGATAGGTTCCCACGCCCCTCGATCAGTCGCCACCCAGAATGCTGGGCTGGCACGGTGGCGGGACTTGCTTAAGGCAGCTGGAGAACCCCAAAGAAGACCGCGAGAGGCCTACAAGAGGCTGCGAGATAGAGGGAGAAGGGAGAAGGGAGTAAGGAGGGAGGGAGGATGAAGCGGAAACATCGCATATCGCCGATAATCGAATGCCTTTCGAACCGTTACACCCAAACCGCTCGGCAACACCTGTTCGTGGCATCGCGGTGATCGAGCCGAAGATTTCGCTCCAAGATTGGCCTCGAATCACCGTCGGATGCAGTCGCGGTCAATCGCGTGAACGGCCAACAGTCTGACCTGTGTAATGTTAGGTTCCCAACACAACCTGCCGCGGAAACCCCTAGAAACATCCAGAACTACCTGGAGACCTCTGGAGACCACTGGAAGCAACCGAAAACTACCCAGAGAATCCTGAATAAAAAACCAAAGACATCCGAAAACCCTCCGAAAACACCCAGAAGCCTCCGAAACCAGGTGAGCGACGAAAAGAAACGGATCTTGCGCAAGAAGACGTAGCGACCTTCCGCGGCAGCTTACGCAGGCCTCCAGCGCGGCACGCCATCTTCGAGACGAGGGCACTCACGCGCGGCATGACGCGGGCACCCTACGCGCGAATGCTGGCGCCGCCGACCCCGGTTTCCTCCGTCGCTCGTGTGGGAGCCACTGGCATCCCCCCCGAAAGCCGTCGACGACCCACGGGTAGCTCCGGAGACCTCCCGCAACCCCTCTCGAGGAGGCGCCCCACGCCGCGGGCCTCGGCGCCGCCCTCGGCGCGCGCCGCCACGTCGTCCAGCACCGCCGCCCGCAGCTCGTCCAGCGCCCTCTCCACGACGGAGGCCTCCGGGGCGAGCTTCCCAAGCAGCCCTGCAGGGGGACCTCCCGCCCCTCCCCGCCACGTCTGCTCCGTCCGTCCGCCGTCAGAGGCGTGGCAGAGTGACAACGGCTGCCTGGCATGGCGTCTGTCGGCTTCTAAGGGCCCTTCCCCCTCGACTCGCAGACAGGCGCGTGCTCCCCCAATCTCTCGAGGCGACGATCCCTCGCGGAAGTCCATGTGTCTGCGCTCCCGAAGCCACGATCGCTCGGAAACAATTCGCCTGGCAAGAGACCCAAACATATACAGTTGTGCGTACCGTAGTTCTGAGCATCATCTTCGGTAGAGCCCTCCCTTTACCGGGCCACGAAATGTGTTGGTGTGCCCAATAGGTGAGGAGAAGGCATGCCGGCCCTGATGGCCCTGGCACTGGGGTCTTGGGTGGAGCTCCCGCTGGGGCCACGACACGCGTGAGGGGTGCGCGTGAGGGGTGCGCAGAAAGCATGCGGGCCCTGGTACTGAGGCCTAAAATGGATCGCTCAGCACTGGGGCCTAAGGTGGAGCTATCTATGGGTCCACGAAACGTGTGAAGGGTGTGGAGAAGGCAGGCGGGCCCTGGCACAAGGGCCTGAGGTGGAGCTCCCTCTGGGGCCACGAGGCGTGGGAGGGGTGGGCCGAAGCGGTGCGGAGAAGGCATGCGGTAGAGAAGGCATGCGGGCGCAATCACCAGGGCCTTCGGTGGAGCTCCCCAAGGTTCGGCGAGTCGCGCGCGAGGGGCGACGAAAGGGTGTGGAGAAGGCATGCGGGCCCTGGCACTGGGGCCTCAGATGGAGCCCCCCCCCTTATGGGGCCACGAAACGTGCTGAGGTGCGCCGACATGTTGCGGAGAAGGTGCGCAGCCCCTGGCACTGAGCCTGAGGTGGAGCTCCCTCTGGGGCCACGAGGCGTGGGAGGGGTGCGCCGAAGTGGTGCGGAGAAGGCATGCGGGCCGTCGCACTGGGGTCGTGGGTAGAGGTCCCGATGGGGCCACAAAACGTGAGGGGTGCGCCGACATGGTGTAGAGAAGGCATGCCGGCGGTTATCACCAGAGCCTTAGGTGGAGCTCCCTAAGGTGCGGCGAATCGCGCGCACGGTGCGCCGACATATTGTGGAGAAGGTATTCGGGCCCTGGCACTGGGCCTCAGGTGGAGCTTCCTGTGCGGCCACGAAACGTGTGAGGGTCGCGCCGAAATGGTGCGGAGAAGGCATGCGGGCGCAACCACAGGGGCCCTAGGTGGAGCCCCCTCTGGGGCCACGAAACGTGTGAGGGGTGTGCCGAAATGGTGCGGAGAAGGCATGCGGGCCCCGGCACTGGGTCCTTGGGTGGAGCTCCCTCTGAGGCCACGAAACATCTGAGGGGTGCGCCAGCATGGTATGGAGAAGGCATGCGGGCGCAACCATTGAGGCCTTGGGTGCACGGCTGTGGAACGTCTGAGGGTTGTGCCAAAGCGCTGACGACGATTACCATGATGCTGACGATGATGGGGATGACGCTGATGAAGAGGATAACGATGATGATAATGATGATATAGTAGATGCTGACGTTGATGGAGATGACGTTGATGAAGGGGATGACGATGATGGTGATGCTGGTGTTGAGGACGATGACGACGACAATGATGATGATGATGATGATGATGATGATGACGACGACAATGATGATGATGATGATGATGATGATGATGATGATGATGATGATGATGATGATGATGGTGGTGGTGGTGGTGGTGGTGGTGATGCTGATGCTGATGATGATGATGATGAGGATGGTGGCGATGATGATGGTGCTGATGGTGATGATGGCGATGCTGGTGATGATGATGATGATGATGATGATGATGATGATGAGGAGGAGAAAAGTGATTATGATGCTGCTGATGACGATCGTGGTGGTGATGGTGGGCATGACGATGGTGATGATAGTGATGATGCCGCTGATGATGATAATACTGCTGCTGATGATGCTGGTGATAATGATTATGACGAGATGATGATAAAAATGAAGAAGATGATGATGATGGTGATGACCCCGGCAAGCGGAGAGCAGGAGGGAGGAGGGGGAGGAGGAAGAAAGGAAGAAATGAACGCGGGGCGCTGCTGATTGAAAACGAAGACCCAACACCACAGGATGGATGGAAAATATGGATCCGGCCTCTCAAGCTTCCAAGATGGTCCAGACAGGCAATTAAGCCCACCAATGAGGCCCAAGATGCCACCAAGAAGACTAAGAGAACCAAAGGCGGCCCAAGACGGGCTCAAGACGGCCCAAACTGGCCCTAAGACGCCCAAAGACGCCTCCGAAAAAGAGCTTCAAGAAACCATCATCAGCATCATCAGCAGCAGCATCATCAGCATCACCATCATTATCGTCATCAATATCAGCAGCATCGTCGTCATCATCATCATCATCATCAGCTGCAGCATCAGCATCATCATCACCATCACCATCATCAGCATCAGCATCATCATCAGCAGCAGCAGTATCATCATCAGCAGCAGTAGCACCATCATCAGCATCAGCAGCATCGGCAGCAACATCATCATCAACAATATCCTCGTCATCATCATGACTATCATCACCACCATTCGCATCATCATCATCGTCGTCATCATCATCAGCATCTTCATCGTTATCCTGGAGGTTGCTGAAAGAGTTGCATCGTCTCGCCGTTGCGAACTTCGGTCAGCTCAAGGCGGGCCAGGAAGCAAACAAGATGGGCCGCCAACGGCACAAGAGGACCCAGTGGTGCCTCCAAGACGCCCCCAAGACGGCCTCAGTGGAGACCCAAGACGACATTAAAGACCCTTCGGCAGCCAAAGACAGCACAACGGCAGCCCAACAACGGTCATAAGACAACCACCATACGGCCACGAGGGTCCCAAGACGGCCCAAGAGAGCTCAAAGACGGTCTAAGAGGACTACCTGACGGCCCAAGAGGGCCCCAGGACGGCCAGGGAACCCCCTAGACTGTCCCGAAGGAGCCCAAAACAGACCCAAGACGGTCTAAATGAGCTTCACCAAAGCTCCTCAATACATGACGACAGAAGGCGCCACATGCGACGGGGTTCCTCTTCCTCATCCTCCTCGTTCATATGCCCCTCTTCCTCCTCCTCCTCCTCCTCCTCCTCCTCCAGATCATCATCATCATCATCATCATCATCATCATCATCATCATCATCATCATCATCATCATCATCATCATCATTATCATCAGCATCATCATCATCATCATCATCAGCAGCAGCAGCATCATCAGCATAATCCTCCTCCTCATCATCATCACCACCATCACCATCATCATCAGTATCAACAGCATCATCAACATCATCATCATCAACATCGTCATCAGCAGCAGCATCAGCATCATCTGCATCATCAGCATCGGCAGCAGCATCATCAACATCATCATCAGCCTTATTATCATTATCGTCGTCATCGTCATCGTCATCATCATATCTGACCATCATCAGCATCATCATGATCAGCATCCTCAGCATCATCAGCATATTCGTCAGCATCATCATCATAAGCAGCAGCATCATCATCAGCAGCAGCATCAGCAGCAATAGCAGCAGCACCAACATCAACATCATTAGCATCATCATGAGTATCATCATCATCACCATCAGCATCATCACCACAATCACCATCACCCCATCATCGTGAGTGGAATCGTTATCATCAACAGCATCATCAGCATCATCATCAACAACATCACCAGCAGCAGCATCGTCATCCGCATGCTCCTCCTCCTCCTCCTCATCATCATCATCATCATCATCATCAGCATCATCATCTGCATCAGCATCATCAGCATCAGCAGCAGCATCATCATCAGCATCATCAGCATTATCAGCATTATCAGCATCATCAGCAGCATCAGCATCATCATCATCAGCAACATCATTATCATCCTTGTCACGGCTCTCCCTCCAGCTCTGAGGCACCCGGTGATACAAGCGACGTCCTCAGGTGCCCTTCGAACGAATCGCCACCCAGAATGCTGGGCTGCCACGGCGGCGGAAGGTGCCGCAGGCAACTGGATATGAATACGACGGCATCATCCGTGGATCGTTCAACGGTGAAAGACCGCAGGAGCCTTCGACATTGACCGATTCCGGGACACCAGCGGCGTTCGACCTTGAACGCCCGCGCTGAGGGCGACGCCGCGACGACACGGCAAGAATCTACCGTTGTCTCCTCTTTCCCTTGAGAATGTCCGATGGTGCTCCCGCCTCTCTCGCGTAGAGTCTTGCACACAAGATCTCACGATGTGGTTGTTCCTATGTCACCTTCAGCTCCGCTCGCTCTCGGTCCTTCAACGATGGTGATCCTCCGGTGCTCTACTCCCATCGTGCGGACTGGCTATCTCGCCCGAGCGCGGGCCACATTGCTGGATCCGACTCACTCCTCGTCGCTGCCACCACCTCCACTCCCCTCCTCGTCCTTTCGGCTGCTCATCTTGTCATCATCGTCATCAGCAGCATCGTCATCATCAGCATCAGCAACATCAGCAGCAGCAGCAACAGCAGCTGATCATCATCAGCAACATCATCATAAGCATCATCATCGTCATTATCATGATCCTCCTCCTCCTCCTCCTCATTATCATCATCATCATGATCGTCGTCGACATCGTCGTCATCATCAGCAGCATCACCCTCATCATCATCAGCAGCATCATCAACATTACCATCATCATCCTCACTATCCTACTCCATCCTGGTCATATTCCGCAGATCCCGCTTCGTGCTCCTCCACCTCCTCCACTTACTCAACCTCCTCTCCATCCGCCTATGTTCAAGAGCGCCCCTCTCCGAATGCGCAGCGAACGATGAGTCAAATTCTGCAGCTGCCATTCGAAGGGCATGAGTTCCTAGGCCACCCCAGTCAGCAAGTAGAAAAGGATCCAATGCAAACGGGAGGGATGGGTGCGAGGGGTAGGATGTCAGATGCGGCGCGAGCGCGCCTAGCTTGCCCCCCCCCT